GTCTCGCTCTGTTGCCCAGGCTGGAGTGCAGTGGCCGGATCTCAGCTCACTGAAAGCTCATCCAGGCTCATTCTTAACAGGCCTCAGAGAGGTCTGCAGTGGAGCAGAGAACAGTGCAGGGGATTTGCCTGGGTTTCAGTGACTAGACCCTGCTACTTGCTGGAGAGGCAGCTTGCTGATGCAGAAAGAGCTCAGACTGACAGTGTCCTGACATCAGCTGAGGTCAGCTGTGTGGCCTGGGGCAAGCCATTCACCCCCTCAGTCTATTACTTCCTTTGTCAAATAAAGATAAGAAGTAATAATGACCCACCTTGCAGGGCTGATGTAAGGACTAGAGAAGATATATGCAAAGGAAACTTGAACATGGGAGGCCGAGGTTGCGGTGAGCTGAGATTGCGCTATTGCACTCTAGCCCGGGCAATAAGAGCAAAACTCCATCTCAAAAACAAAACAAAACAAAACACCCTGAACATGGTGGACTCCCCATAGAGACCATGCCCTTCCACTTAGAAAGTACTTTCCTGGGCTGGGCGTGGTGGCTGACGCCTGTAATCCCAGCACTTTGGGAGGCTGAGGAGGGCCAATCACGAGGTCAGGAGTTTGAGACCATCCTGATCAACATGGTGAAAACCCGTCTCTACCAAAAATAAAAAAATTAGCTGGGGGTGGCGGTGGGCACCTGTAACCCCAGCTACTCGGGAGGCTGAAGTAGGAGAATCACTAGAACCCAGGAGGCAGAGGTTGCAGTGAGCTGAGATCACGCTACTGCACTCCAGCCTGGGTGACAGGGTGAGACTCCATCTCAAAAAAAAAAAAGTACTTTCCTGTCCATTCTCTCATGTTGTGACCAGCCACCACCCCATGGGTGTATGAGGCAAGGTGATTATCATAAGGGTTGGGGGTAAACCAAGACTGTTCTAAGACCCCCTGTCCCACCACAGCATAGAGGAGAGGGAACTGTTCTAGCCCACCTGGCCACCCAGCTGCTCCGATTCAGCACGCTGAGGGCTCAGTTGTTACTGTACAGTGTTGGAGGGGGAGCCTATATTTGAGCTACTATGAGATATAATCTAGGGATGCCTAGAAATGTCTGGGTGGGGAGACAGCTGCACAGACCTGGAAT